ATGTTTCTGTAGTATAATGTAATGTTCTATGGTGCTTTTTATGATATTCACTTAGTATACATATGATGCTCTACGATGTATTTAATGATATTCACGTAATATATATGAGATGTTTTATAATGTATTTAGTTATATTCTATGGTGTGGTTAGTCATGTTCACTTAGTATATATGTGATGTTCTATAGTATATTTTAGAGTTAAATACACTAGCGGCCTTTAAACTTGTAGCGTTGTGCCATTTAGGTCCACGAACTCTCAAAATTGAAATTCAATCCCTGAACTTGTTAAATGATGCACAGATCCATACCCCTTCGGGAGGAGCTGACTAGGCTACATTTTTTAAAAAAATACCCTGCTATAGTCATGTTCTACCCATGCCATCCATCTCATAGGTCGCGCTCGTCATTCACGGCTGCCGCCATACGCGTAGTTTGATCGTTTCATTGTGCCTCAGCTCGTAGGACGCGCTCGCCATTCGCAGTCACACAGGAGACCGCTCTACTGCCCCCTTCTAGACACAGAGATGACGCCCTGCGTGGTTACGTACCACTCCCCAGTGCGAGGCATGCACACCACGACTTCCGGCTAGGCGGTCGCTGCGTGACGTCAACATGTGGCACCACCCGGAGCCGCCCTTGCGAGGTGTAGCTGTGCTGCCTATCGCGGCACGTAGCTTGGCCACAAACATGCGGCACAACGGTCTACTGACTGCTGCATGCCTGTATGTGTGCAAAACATCGAAAGATAATATAGTCAATTAACAGAATGGGAGTTGCCGTTGTTGCTTATCCACATGATCAGAAAGGTATGTTGGTGCCTGGCACGGAGAAGAACGTCACCGCCGCCATGCGCGCCATCACTGAGGCCACGGGCGGCGCCTTCTCCTTCGTCGAGAACCAGGCGGCGATCCATGACTAGTTCGTGCGTGGCCGTGCAGTGCAGGAGGCGCGCGTGTCGCCGTCGCGTGCCTGTGCAAGGAGGGAGGATGGCCAGTTTGGGGAGATGGATGGCGCGGTGAGTTCCGTGGGCACGCGAGCTTCGGGAGCGTGCTTCTGTACCAGGGCATCCGCGACCTTCGGGACGGTGTCATGTCCACAGAGGCATGGCTGGCTAGGCACCCCGGTAGGCCCAGTCTGATCTTGTTTTCTCGCACTACCATGAGGAAAGCGCGCTGGTGGAAGGCCGGCCACGAGGGAAGCGCATCGGGCACCGCACTGGTAGACGGCCGACCGCGAGGGAAGCAACTGCGAGCAAACCTCACGGGTGGACGGTCGGCCGCCGATGTCGCGCACGTGGGAGACGACGGCCGCGGACGCCGCCGCACGCGAGGGAGACTGAGGTAGGACGTGACTATCAGGTGCTTTCTGTAAAAATTTTAGCCTAGTCAGTGCCTCCTGAAGGGGTATGACATCTGGTGCATCACTTAACAAGTTCAGGGTCTCGAATTTCGATTTCGAGAGTTTGTGGACCTAAGTGGCACAACGCTATAAGTTTAAGGGCCGCCAGTGTATTTAACTCTATATTTTAAGATGTTTGAAAAGTATCCATGTGATGTTCTCTTAAATTTTCTCTATTACGTGTATTTTCCTTATGCTTTGCTCTAATTTTATTATTTTTAACGTTATGTATTTATTTATTTTTATTTTGTTATTATTTTTATTTTCATGGTTATTATAATACCAATTCAATGAACCTAATATTGTTCTCGTAAATCGAGAACGAAAGGCGTAATTATTATTTTTTTGAACTTAGAACATTGCTACGCTCAATAAAAAATTGTTCTATCTTGTAAGATAAATGTTCATTATAAAATTTATCTAAGTATATCCATGTGAGATCTTGTTTTGAAGAATTTATTGCAAGGAATATGATGATATAATCGAAATTTAATTTAGATGTTTAATTTAACATTTATTACTTTTAAAACTTGTGCAGATGCTTACTTAGGCATATTCTCGGTGTGTTTTTCTTTTTGAACATGCATGCATGTGAAGGAGTAGTTTTCAATAAAATTTTTTGTGCCAATGGTGCTACCCAAAGTTCAAAAAAGACGACGCCTTGGCTCTCGCTTAGGCGCGACTAGTCGCTAAGTCGAAGGGTGCCCACTTTGCCAATGGAGGTAGGCGGACATCTGGGCTCTAGGCGGCGTGAAGCGGACGCAAAGGGCGAAGTAGCCAAAAAAATACCATTAGATGGGCGAAGGCGTGAAGACTTCCCACGCAGAGAAGGACGACGCGGTCGAGCGTGCGCTTGCACTGGCTTTGGCCGCACCTAAAAAAAGGCGGGAAGGATAAGAGGAGAGGACGCACTTCCGCCTACCATTTGGTCATCCCCACCGGGCGCCCTCCCACCGGACGCGCTCCTCCCACCGGACGACCTCCTCCATGCAGCGCCAGATTGTGCTCGTCCCTCGCCTAGAAGAAGGTCGTCCCCGTCGGTCGTGCTCGTCCCCGTCAGGCGCACCCTCCCTCCCTTGAGCCCCAAGGTTGGTCCCCCTGCTCCTCTCCCTTGCTCAAGCTCCCTCTTCGCTCCTATCCCGTGCATCTTGAATGGTGAAGTGATTCAAGTGAATCTTGAATGAATGGATGGATCTTGAATATATTCTCTTCGTGAATAATGAATGAATGGATGGATCTTGAATCATCTTTTGTGATTGTTCGAATATATTTTGTGATTGCTCAATGCATTATTGATTGATTGAATGTATTATCGATTTCGATTGGTGAATGTCGATGTATAGGAGTCCTTTGAAATCTGAATATTTGCTCTTTGAACTCTGAAACCTAAATGTATGCTCTGAACTCTTGAATGTAGGATGTCGATAACAGAAGCTTTACCTACACCTAAAACTGAAACTGAGGGAGCGAATCTCCCGAGAAGGAATTCGGATGATGTGGAACTGTTTGTTGTCTATTGAGTATTTACAAGCTATCAATCCTTGCTGTAGGAACTAGGAACAAGCTGTCTATTGATTATTGAGCCTAAAACAGTAAGCCACTAAGGTATGTCTACTGCCCTCTTTTTTATATACTGTATTCAGCTACTCTATGCTTCTATTTAACTAATTTACTCTATGCGCTAAATTGGCAAAACGCCTAGAAAAACATCTTGGCCAACCTAGGCGCTAGACTAGGGGTCAGCGCCTAGCGCCTCCTTAAACTTTGGTGCTACCACGTGATCTACTCACTGTAAATAAAGGCAGTGTTCGGCTGAGCAAGAAGCCGGTTTGTTCGGCTTGTTTTTTCAGCCAGGACAGCGTTTTTCTCTCACAACAAATCAGTATAAACAGTGTTTCCAGCATGAACAATATTTTTTCGTAACAGCCGGACACCGCAAAGAAGTCAGAACGCGCTCTCTCTAGTAGCCTCGACGCGGCGTGGAGAGAAATGACGCGAAAATTATCGGCGCGCGGACAGAAACCAGCTGGAGCGCGGGAAAAATCATCGGCGCCGGGTTAGGGTCTGACCCTAAGGGCACTCCCGATGGAGAATTAATGGTGGTTTCTATCTCTATTAAATGATATGCCAACTCAGCAAAATGCTGACATGGCATCCTAATTAATGAAGAAAGAGATGAAAAATAGAAGAAACCGTTTCTTCAAGAGGAAACGAAGTCGTCTCTTGAATCGATGCACGAAGAAACTGCGATTTCACTGTTGGGAAGAAGTGAGTCGTTTCTATCAAGTTGCGGCTTTTGTGATGGCTTGCCGGCCACCGCAACACGCTTCGCTCATAACGCCCCCAGCTACTTACCTGGCGGCGTTCGCTTGCCGGCGCCACAGCGCTTTCGCGCGCCATGCCGCTGCCGCCATTACCGGTTGGCAGCGCTCATCGTCGGCCGCCACCACGCTGGCCCGCTCACTCGCCGGCCGCCACCATGCTCTCGCCGCGACCGCTTGTGCGACGCGCTAGCAAAGCGCACCATACGCGCGCCGAAACGAGTGCCAAAATCACGAGGCGCGGCGGCGGAAAGCGGGACAAGAAGGTCGTCGTCATCTACTAGGGCATCCATCGCGGAAGATCATGAAGGAGGGGCGGCACGGAGTGGAGGTGGTTACTGTTTCAGGTGAGCACTTGATCTCGCTCTACACATTGCAACCGCCGGGTTCCAATTTGTGATGGTCGCCGTTTGATTGTTCGCTATTCGTTCATATGCATCATGTGCGTCACGTGCGGCTATGGGACACGTATAGAGCGGACACGTCGATCGACATGAAGAAGCACCACGAGCATTGTCACCAGCGGCGACTCGCTTAGCCCACGCAGCGCGCTTTTACAAGCGCTTTCGCCGACCCGCCGCCTGCGTGCTGCTGCGCTGCGCGCCGCGCGCACCAGACAGACACTCGCCGGCACCGCGCTTGCGTGCGGCTCTGCGCGCGTCGCAGGTCGGGTATTGCTCTCGCCACCGAGCTAAATCACGGCAGAGAATACCAGAGGCGAGAGCATCCATGGTAATCGGTGGAGGGATAGAGAGAGAAACACACATTTATCACGTGAAGAAACCTGCATTGTGGGGATAGTTTCTATAGATAAAATTTTGCTGATGTGGTCGCTACGGAAACCGTGCGTAGTGTCTACCGCTGGGACTGCCCTAACACGCTCCGGTGGCTGCTGCATGTGTGCACGGTCCGTACGAAGTGGACGGCTGCTGGCGCCTGGTGGGGTGCTCTCTCAGCGATGCGCCAGTGCGGGCTCGCAGCCTGCAGGTATGGCGCCCTTTTCGTGGTAGTAGAGTTTTGGGCTCAGGGCCTTTCTGTTTGAGCCCAGAGCTGAGCGTGCGCGGGCCCATGATAAAGCAAGCGGACGTTCCACACAGCAGCCTGGTTGACACTAGAGCCTCCCTCGTGGGCTCGTGGCCTCGTGGCCTAAGCCTGCGATTTACGACTATACGAGAATCCCCCTCCGCGCACCAGTCCAGCACACAGTTCGCTCCCCAAGTTCCCCGTCTCTTTCCCCACCCACCCACTCGGTCACCGCCGAGGCCGAGCCGATCTCCGACCATGCCTTCCGCCGCCGCGCTCCTCCTCCGCCCCACCTCCGTCACGACACACCCTCCCCTCCACCAATCCAGCCGCAAATCATACTTCCTCCGCCTACACCCGTCTTGCCGCCGCCGCCTGCCCGTCCCGCGCCTGTCCCTCACGCCCACCACCGCCAGCAACAGCAACAGCTCTCCCCCACCGCCGTCCCCTTCGCCCGCCCCCGCGGCCCCGCCTTCCCTGTTCTCCAACTGGTCCCCGCCGCGCGCGATCTGGCGGGGGCTCTCGGCGCTGCTCCTCGCGGGCCAGGTCTTCCACCGCGTCCTCACGGGCCGCATCCACCGCCGCAACCTCCTGGCCCAGCTCCGTCGGGTGGGGCCCGGGAGCGCGGGGTCGCGCTCCTCACCGCGGCCTTCGTCGGCATGGCCTTCACCATCCAGTTCGTGCGCGAGTTCACCCGCCTCGGCCTCCACCGGTCCGTCGGCGGCGTCTCGCCCTCGCGCTCGCGCGCGAGCTCTCGCCGGTCGTCACGGCCGTCGTCACCGCTGGCCGCGTCGGCTCCGCGTTCGCCGCAGAGCTCGGCACCATGCAGGTGTCGGAGCAGACCGACACCTTGCGCGTCCTCGGCGCCCACCCCGTCGACTACCTCGTGGTCCCTCGCGTGCTCGCCTGTGTGCTTGCGCTCCCGGTCTTGACACTGATCAGCTTCGCTCTCGGCCTCGCGTCCTCGGCGTTCCTGGCAGATTCTGTGTTTGGCGTCAGCGTCAGCATCATTTTGGAGTCGGCGCGCAGGGCGCTGCGGCCATGGGACTTGATCAGCTCCTTGCTGAAATCTCAAGTGTTTGGTGCCATTATCGCAGTGGTGAGCTGTGCCTGGGGAGTCACAACCCATGGAGGAGCCAAGGGCGTTGGCGAGTCTACAACATCTGCCGTGGTTGTTTCCTTGGTTGGAATCTTCGTTGCAGACTTTGCTCTCTCGTGCCTGTTCTTCCAGGGTGCTGGTGATTCGCTCAAGTATGCAATGGGTTGAGGTGGGTCGTTGCAGAGGAAATTTTTGCTTTCTAGGAGATAGCATATCATAGTCTTGTACATTAACAAGAATGGTGCACTGGATTCCAATAGGTGAACATTGCAACATCTGCTGCCGTCCAGGTGACATGTATCATTTTTTTCCCCTTGATACCTACGAGAAATCATTTAGAGTGTTCTACCTTTGTTGTACTAAACTGTTGCTCAATTATTTGCCAGTGATTCATGTATAACCTTATTCATAAAGCTATTGGTCAAAGTGAATCAGTGTAACATATGATGCTAATATAAGTACAGAGAAAATGTTGGTACAATCTGCTTAGACAGCATTTTTGTGTAAATACAAATTGCTTGAGAGGTCTGCTGCTTTCAGATTCAGAAAACAACATTGAAATCATATTGTTTACTGATTGCAATTGCAACATATACACAAGGGAAGCTCATATGCTCCTCTTTTAAGAATATTGATTTCCTGCGAGTGCACATAATCTTGCATCTTCAGCTTTCAGCATCTGTGGATGAACAGAATTGCAATAGTTTGTTAGAAACTCTAGAAAATACAGTAGTTAGACAGCGTGGCCATTGAGATAAACATCATTGTCTCTGGGTTCCAAATGGATTGCCAGGACTAATGTATGTATATATGAGATATATGATGAGTATGGTTAGCAGGATAACGGTAGCAGAAAAAGCTTGTTAGGGCAACATCCTAGATGATTAGATACTTCATCTTGAGCCTTTGTTCGTTTGGGCCGGGAACAGCCGGGGTCGGCACCCAACCCCATGGATCATCCCGGCCTGGAATGGATCATCCCATGGTCAGCGAGATAATGAGCGTTCAGTTAAGCTCGGCGTGGTTACATGGATCACCCCATGGTCAGCAAGATAACGAGTGTTCAGTTAAGCTCGGCGTGGGTTGTAACCCAGCCTACCCCAACCTTTTACCCTCACCCCAGCCTGGGAACGAAGCGAAGCCCGGCCTCCAGTGGTGTGGGTGAAATCCTCGTCGCACGGGGAGAGGTCGCGGAGGCGAGCGCCTGGGTGATGGTACGCAGTGGCGACGACGTGGTGGTAGAGTGGCGGCAGGGCAACGTAGACGTGACAGAGCAACGGCGACCCGGCTCTCGCGTCTAGCGTCCACTCCTTCTGGAAGCCACCTCCTCGCAGTTAATCGTGTCGTGCTCTTCATCGTTTCCTTAGGGTTTTCTTGCAGTTCTTGATTTGTATCCTGACATGGTCGGCGGCATTGTCCTTGTACCGTGTGCACGCCGACGGCCTCCATGGACTCTACTCCCTCTCCCCTTTCACCAGTGCTTCCTGGTTCAGTGTAGATCTAATGACTGGTGGAAGCAGGTAGGTGCTGTCGCCGTGACCATGTCGTACATGCTTATTCATGCTTGCGATTTTCATTGGATTGAAGTGTGGAGAGGAGAGAAGAGGTGGAGAGGAGTGGTCTTGCTCGTGCAGTGGTGCTGCGTAACCTGTGTAGACTACTGTTGAGTGTTCACATTGACAACAGATTCAGAGGCTCCTCCTCCTTGCTTCTCTGCAAATTTTTTTTTTTGTCTCAGATAGATGCTCTGTAATTTATTTTTTGATGATAATTAGTTACTCTAATTTTGGCGGTGCAGAACTAGCAATGAATATTATTCAAATTTCGAAATGAGTTGCGATCTTCTTAGGTCTAACAATTTGAGAGACATGATAGCGCAAGAAATGTGGAATGATTACCAACTGCATTGAACTTAATGAAATGGCTTAGTAGGTTCGCACCTGCACATTTTCCTTCTCGGCTGTCCTGTTTTGATCCAATTTAATATGAAATGGCTAAGTACCTCTAGTGTTCCATTGTTCCATGATTTGATAAGTGTTTGGTTGCAACCTAATTTTGGTCAGTGAGATTATGATGCAAATACTTTGATGCTAACATACTGTGGAAGTTATTTATCCATTGAAGAAATTTTGACCAGAAGTTTTGGTGATTTTTCTTCACATTGCTAGGTATTAGTACAAGTGTCGCCTGTTGGTATTAGTTTAAACTTTAAATTAAAAGAGACCTCTGATATGAAAGAAGCTGATAGCTTTTCTTTATTCTTATCTGTATTTATATGTATCTCAACTTTATACCTCTTGGATCTAAATAAATATTTACAAGGGAGCTTTACCTCTGTAGATGAAAAACAAGTTTGTGAGCTGCTCTCTGTTATTTTAACATAGTGCACCATGTGATGATTTGTGATAGTCTAAGCTAGCTGATGATTACAATTCAAAACTCCTTTCCTTACCTGTGTGCAGAGACGTAGAAGCCCCCAAGCCTCAACCCACCCGAGATCATCTTCCTCTGCAGCTATGAGAATTATGGCACGACCTTTCTTGATGTCAGCGCGCCCCGCAAGCATGCTCATGTGCACAACGCGAAGCAGTATACCTGCAATGAGCCCAACTGTTGGAAGGTATTTCTGCCTGGAACTAGCATCAGTACCACACATACTTTTTGTTTGTTATTGCAATATGAACTTGAGTCTTAGTGTACTTATCTGCTCTCAAACACAAAACATCTCAAGATGTTTTTGTTTATATTAACTGAATATGTCTACCTCTTCCTTATATGCTATCTGTACCTGTCCAATCTTTATCCTGAGTTCCTGAATATGTGCTTCTGCACCAAAAAAAAAAAAAAAAATCCCGATTGATTCAGATAATATGTTTTCTTGATAACATGCCTTGGCTGCATAGCACATCGGCAATGCTGCATTAGTAAAGCTCTCGGTATTTTAAGATGCATCGCTGTGGCTGAGGATTATCCAAAATGATTGTAGCATTACTCATGAACCGACTCATGATTATTTCCATTTTCTACTACTAGTCTACTACATGTACACTTTAAAATTAGCAACAATGTCCATTATATTATAGGTTCATTTATTATTGTATTATTATTGCCTCACATTCTTTTTTATTGCAACCTACTTTGGTTTATTGTGCATATTCATTCATTTGTCTCATGGTGTTACAGGGTAGGAGAAAGCAATCGGATCAGAGAAAGAGGAAGTCAATTCACATCCTGCCAGTTGAGGCATCTTTAGGCTTGATGTTGGTAGCACTTGAAGGCAACATGCCTGTTGATGCATATTCTGTGCTGTTCTAGCATATCTGATCATTGCTGGATGTTAATTTTGTCGATTTGTATTTTTTTTATTTGGCCTGCATCAAATCTGTGTTTAATTCGAACAGAGAAGGATCATATGTATTGAGAATTGTATGACTGGCATGTTTAATTTTTTGGAGAGATGTATTTATATGTTTTATGTTTAAACTTGTGGAGCAATCACAGGGTTTCAATCCCTGCATTAACCAAACACATGGTTTCAAAGAGAGGGATTAGAGAGGAGAGGAATAAACCCCCAAAGGGATTGAATGTCATGGGAGGAATCCACTCAACTTGGGGATTTGACCCCTATCAACATAACAAAGCCTGAGGGTGACTTGTATGAGTGGAATTCCTGCTGTGCGTGCCCTTTGTTGGCATCCCAGATTCTTCGGGTTAATTATTTTTGGCTATTCATTGTATCATCAGCACATGTCTCTGGAATGTTGAATTGGACTCTTTCACCATGGTAGGCCTCAGGTTTTTTTTTTTTTTTTTTTTGGTCATGCATGCAAGATATGTAGATTCTGCTCGCTGTGACCTGATAAACAAGTATGCAAATGATCTCGTGAAGCGAGTTTGTAAACAAAAAAAAATTGTTGTCTCTGAGTAACAAAGATAATCAGTATGGGCGCAGCCAGTTTAGACTGTTAATCCGTTGGTTGACACCATCGTCATATCTTTTGTGTGTTCACGAACTTTGACCTATTGCGTTGAGAAATGAAAAGATCCTCACTTTATGGGTAGAACTGTAGCAAATAGCACACATTAAGAAGCATCATGGCTTGTTTTACTTTATGCAAAAAAAATAATAATTGAAGAGACGAGAGGTATCATCAGAACGTTCTGTTCTGTTTCGCAACATCATGAGTGGAATGTTTTGTGTTTCGCAACATCAAGTTAATCGAGGAGAAGCTCCAAAGAACCTTGTACCCTGATTATTAGTGTTCGCATTGCTGAGATAGCTTGAACAAATACAATACATCTCTCAGTCCTTTTTATTTATTTATTTATACGTATCGCGTACATATTTACTATTTTAGGTACAAAATTTAGCGGAACGAATTGAACCATATACACCACCATGACAGCATAGAAGAGAGATCGCGAAAGCAGTGAGTAGAATTTTGCTTTCTTCTTGCTTTGCTTCTTATTTTCCGTTACTACTACGTACTATTACCCTCGTACAGTAGTCGTTTAGGCAACCTTGCACGAGAAGACTTCCTTGGCTCTTGCTGACAACTCCGGGAATACCCGAGTTGGGCGAAAGTCCTTGTTGAGGCAAACCACGGTCGCTCTGCCTTCCAATACGAGCTGACAAGTATATATAGGAACAGTGAGTGTGAGATGTATATATGATGCATCGCTAACAGCCTAACGTATGTTTTTTTTCTCGATCACGCAAAAGCTTTGCGCGTCTTTGCATTAAGATAGAGAAATGTTTAATACAATACGCCTTAGCGACGTCGCAGGACCTTCACTTGATGCGTACCTTACGATCCGGCAGGGCCTCGATCATGTGCTCCACAATCATCCGCACGCCTTTGATTTGGACAGGCTTCACCTTGACCACGAACCTGTCGCCGCTCTGACGATAATGAATGATAAACAATATAATTTCTGTGAGATTTTCCTTGCCTTTGATTTGCCATGCATGTGTTCACACAGCTAGCAGAGAAAGATATGTACCCTCAAAGGCGCGAAATACTTGAGGTTGAGCTCAGAAAGAGCCATGGCGTTGCCCGTGGATGTCCAGTAGTCCACGCTGATGCCCAGCTTCTCAAGCACCACGTCACGACCTGACCACGTACCGTGCCACGCCTCAGTCAGATAATTGATATTCGTAGATATAT